GAATTTAATTCAAATTCGATTCAGGTTTCGGATGAGATTTTGTTTTGTTATTGTGGATTCATTTAAATTTGTTTTGAATTCGATTCAAATTTGATTCAAATGATTTTTGTTATTTCAGATTCGGTTCAATTCATTACTATTGTAAGTTGGAGATTACAATATTCAGATACATCTGGATCTCTGAATAACAAAAATTTTGTCCGAATTCTGATTTGGAATGAAACAAACTGCATGTCTGCTGATCACTGCCATTACCAGTATAGCATATATAGCTGCATAAATTCCAGTATATATCCCATCATTTTTGGAGACGCTATATTTCACGCAAACCAATTAATATACACTTAATGGGTTTTTTGGGTTTTTTTTGTTTACCAAAGACATGCAGAAGTAGGGAGCAGCACTGCAGCAAGGAGCTCCTTTGAGAGCCATTTACATCAGCAGAGCATCCTTTCCACGTGTGGCAGCATTTCTATACAGTGAGGGGATGTCTGACCTGATCTGACCAGACCTATTAGGATCCTTGATGTCCTGTGGTTACTTGTTATATTCGAATTTGGATTGCGTATCTGGTGAGTGCGCAATCTTTACACACCTAGCACCTTATCCAGCCACTGGATTTTGAAGATCAATTGGGATCTTGCATGCACTTATATAGTGGACTTTGTTGTGTGCAACACTCTTTCACGATATTAGTCACTATTGAGTGACATCTGTTATTGCACTTATGTCACATATTCATTGTTTATAGTGATTTTAGATGTTTTAGCAAGAACACTTTGATACATAATTATTTAGCGCTGCACCTTACTTTACTCTATTACTTTGAAGGCTTTATATGGTACCTTGGGTGTACAGCTGCTGATTTTACCTTTAGCGCTCACTTATTTTGCTGTTTTTTATGTAGAAGTGTACATTTTAGCCTACATTTTCAAAGAACTTTTATTTTTTTAATGTATATGTTTTATAGCAGAAAGTAGAAAATATTGTTTTTTCCCCTCAAAGTTTCTGTCTTTTTTTTTTAAATTCTGTTTATTGAATTTTTAATAAAGTACAAAATGTGCCTTTGTAGGGGCAACAAAACAACATGACTACGTTTAGTAGCAGCACAGTGGCTAAGTGGTTAGCGCTTCCATCTGGCAGTACTAGGGTCAATGGTTCAAATCCCAACCATGGCACCACAAGCTGGAGTTTGTATGGTCTCCCTTTGCCTGTGCGGGTTTCCTCAAGATACTCCAGTTTCCTCCCACACTCTAAAGACATGCTGGTAGGTAATTGGCGCCTGTCTAAATTGTCCCTAGTGTGTGTGAATGTGAGTTAGGGACCTTAGATTGTACACCCCTTGAGGGTTAGGGACTGATGTGAAAGTACAATATATATGTAAAGTGCTGTGTAAATTGATGGTGCTATATAAGTACCTGAAATAAATAAATTATTTGTGTGTCTGTAGGGCTCAGAAAACAACCATAAATGTGGCAATGAAATGCTACCCCTCAGACAGTGGTCTACTTAGCCCCAGAATCCTCCCCCTTCGCAGAAATCTATAAGTTATGATTATTAACCAATTCAATACCGGGCAATGTTCCCCTTCCTGCCCAGGCCATTTTTCAGGTTTCAGCGCTCTCACACTTTGATTGACAATTGCACGGTCATAGAACATTGTACCCAAACTAAAAATTTTATCATTTTCTTCACACAACTAGAGCTTTTTTTTGGTGGTATTTAATCATTTTTATTTTTTGCTAAATTAACAAAAAAAGACCAAAAATTTTGAAAAAAAAAAACACGTTTTTCTTTGTTTCTGTTATAAAAGTTTACAAATAAATAATTATTCTTCATAAATTTAGGCCGAGATGTATTCTGCTACATGTCTTTGGTGAAAATAACCCAAATTAGGATGTATTTTTTAGTTTGTAGGAAAGTTATAGAGTTCACAAACTATGGTATAGATCTGAAAATTCATCAATCCTGAAGTACTGACAGCCAATCTAATTTCTTGAGGTCCAAGAAAGAATGTACAGATATCCCCCAAATGTCAGAACAGATATCCCCCAAATGACCCCTTTTTGCAGAGTAGACAGTCCTGACGTACTTCATAAGAGGCGTGGCGAGTTTTTGAAAGTTGTATTTTTTTTGTCATAATTTTTCGGAAAATGAAAAAAGTAATAAAAATTATTTTCACTATTTTTTTTTTACATACTGTCACCAGTGCAGTACAGCGTCATCATATAACTGGCATGGCGGTGATCAGGGACACTGACTGGTGACAGTATGAAAAAAAAAAATTTATATATATATATTTTATTTATTTTTTTTTTTATTTTTTTTAAGATTTTTTTTTCATATTTTACTATGACCAAAGTAGTACAATGTTACCATAGTAACATTGTACTACTTTGGGGAAGTGATCAAACGGCTATAGGCCGGGCGGCAAATGGTTAACCATAAAGAATCTGAAAAGACAGCTTACATACTAGACATGAATTTATATTGGACCTCACTTTGGTAAACTTTTTAGGACGACCTCTGTGAGAATATGTGAAGGGCTGTGTTGACCAGCCAAAACATTACAGTTGGGGGACGGTCTTTTTTTGCTTATATAATATATCATAAAAACATCAAATACCACCAAAGGAAAGCTCTATAAGCTCGAAAGAGCAGGGCCCTTGACCCCCTTGTGTTTTGTTACTGTATTGTCTCATGTTCTGTAACCCCACTATAATGTACAGCGCTGAGCAAACCTTTTAGCGCTATATAAATACTGTATAATAATAATAATAATTTGTATCAAAAAAAATTATCTAAATATAATTTGGCTACAGTATTGCATGACCGCGCAATTGCCAGTTAAAGTAGTGCAGTGCTGAAAAGCAAAAATGCTCTGGTCATGAAGGGGTAAAGCCTTCATGGTCATGTGGTTAATGAACACAGTGTGGTGTTTTCAATATTGATGTGTACAGTATGTCCAGTTAAAACCTGTAGCTTTGGATAAAGGAGGGAAGGATTAGACCCTCTGTTGTCTTTTTTATTGCTCAGTCAGTAACTGTTCCAGTGATAAAGGTTGCGCTAGATAGGAATGGAAGGCAAATCCCCAAGAACACCACAGGGAGAAAAACATTTTATTTTTTTCATTAGTGTTGGGGAAGGCTAACATCCCCATCCGATTTTTATTGCTATGTGTTCCTATTGCAGATTTTTTCCTCGTTTCCTGTCTGGTGAATCTGGTGACACTGTACAAATAAGTGAGAGCAAACCTAAAAGAAGCTCAAAAAGCTGACATGGGTCCTAATTCTTCTTCACTCTATCCCCAAAAAAAAGAAAAAAAAAAGTCTTGGCTGGACAAACTCTCTAATTAAGTGTTCTTGCATACAGGGGCAGACTGACAACTCATGGGGCCCCGGGCAATAGGGGATCATGGGGCCCCTGTGTCCTTGGCCAAACTCAAAAAAAACTATGAAAAAGGTACCAGGGGCATTTCATGGGGCCCCCTACTGACCCCGGGCCCTCGGGCAGTGCCTGAGTTTGCAAATGGTCAGTCCGCCCCTGCTTGCATGGCAAGACCACTTACTGTTATCTCGCATATATATTATTATTATAGCCAAAATTTACCACCCTAACTCCTCCCAAAGTTTTTACACTACATAGACAGTAATATACTGAAACGTGTGGATTGTTCCCGATTGGTGTGCTATTACTTTGTGGAACGTTTCGCTGAATGGTTCACGAAATATCGGCGTTTTTGTGGTGATATTGGTCCCATAGGAAAGAATGGCAGAATGTTCAAAACTAGAGTGGGAGCTGACAAAAGCTAGAGTGTGAGCTGAAAAATCAGGACATGTTTTTTAAACTGCCATCACTCCCTCATTTTCCAGCCCACCTACACAAATCTTATATCAAAACGTTCAGCTATCCCTGCTGCCACTAAAAATGTCCACGGCTAAGCCATAGTCCTGATAGTTTTCACAATATGACTATTTGTTTGCAACTCACACCGCCCATTGACATTCATTGAAACTCCACTCTAGCCACCTCAAATTTGAAGGGCAATTTCTAAACTGCAACTGTGCCTTCATTCTTAATATTTCAGAGACATACTATGCATCAACATGTAGGTCTGGGTCTTGTGATTCTCACAATATAAAGCTCTTCGCTGTAGGATTTATAGTTTTTAAAACTACGACCATTTGAAGAAGCCAGTGAAGTGAGCAAGTTGGAGCAGTTTGTTTTTAACCGCTCTTCTCTGCCCTATTTGAAATCTAATTTTGAATTGGTGAAAGTTTGGCTGGCTTCTGGTTCAAGGTTTGGAAATAAGTTTTCTACAGTAGAGAGTATTTGAGGTGATAATGCTGCTAATGTGTTTATAAATGTATGTTTTAATGTAACTGTGAAGCACTTTGACCAACAACATTGCAATTAAATGTACTATATAAATAATTAAAAGTTGAAATACATTTCTCACTCTATCAAGCTTGCTATGTGCACTTTTTAAATTTGATCAATCAATTGGTTAGTGTAATGTTTACTATCTTTACTCACTCCAAATACTCCACACAGTTACTCTGCCCAGTCCATAAAGTGCCCAGTCCAACCTTTTCAGTTACTCCAGCCACTATCCAACCACACAACAGTTTTCACACAACAGTTACTCCCACTCCAACCCACAACAGTTACCAGCCACTCCACCACACAACAGTTACTCCAGCCACTCCAACCACACAACAGTTACTCCAGCCACTCCAACCACACAACAGTTACAGTTACTCCAGCCACTCCACCCAGTTACTCCACCCACTCCAGTTGTAGACTACTGGTGGAGGAAAGAACACTTCACACAATTTCCCCAGAAATTGTAGCTTTTCTAGTTGGTTTTAGTTATTCACCTTCCATTTACTAATCACTATGATTTTCTATTTTCTTTTACAGTTCATTTTTCATTTCTCATGGGATTTTAGACTTCCTGGTCTTCCAAAGCCATTCCAGTTCTTATTTGATTTCTGATGATGTCGCCGCACCCAAAAAAATGCTTCTACCTCTTCCTATCTTTATTTTGCATATCTCTATGCCTCTCTCATTTCAATCAAACACGCTCCTTGGCATACGTTCCACACTCTGCTCCCAAAAAGAAACCTGTCCATGTCCTTGTGGTGTCATCCTGGAGATCAGGCTCTTCATTCCTTGGACAGATCTTCAACCATCACGATGATGTCTTTTACCTCTTTGAGCCTGGACATTCCCTCTGGATGAAGCTTCGGAATGAAAGTTCTGAGCTGCTACATTTTCCCTTAAGAGATCTTCTACGATCGCTTTTCACCTGTGATGTGTCCCCTCTTCATCAGTATCTTCCTAAAGGGGGAAAACGCATTTCTGATTTGGGATTCTTTGCAGAAAGTCGAGCACTCTGCACCCCACCATTTTGTTCAGCCTTTATACCCTCTGAAGGCTACGACCGCCAAAAATGTTTCCACCGTTGCAGAACTACTTTGCTGGATAAAATGGCAGAAGCATGCAAGACATACAGCCATGTGGTGATGAAAACAGTCCGGATTTTCGACCTTTCTGTTCTGCTTCCCCTTTTCCAAGACCCTACCCTTGATCTTCGTGTTCTGCACCTTGTGAGGGACCCAAGAGCTATCGCTGTGTCAAGGACATACTTTGATCTTAGAATTGATGATAAGATTGTACTTAAGAATGAAGGAAATAAAAATATTACTATAAGCAGGATTATGGAGAAGATTTGCAGATCTCAGGTTGACATCAACAATGTGGCTAAAGCAGCTAAGGTGTTGCAAGGGCGATACATGGCCATTCGGCATGAGGACCTTTCTAATGAACCTCTTGAGTATGTAAAGAAAATTTTCAATTTTTCTGGCCTCCATCTAACTAAAGACCTGGAACAGTGGCTTTACAACGTTACCCATGAGGAGGTAGCAGATAGAGATGGGATCATGGCTTTCTCAAAAACCTCTTCAGAGTTGGTCCAAAAATGGAGAACTGCTCCGGACTTCAATTTTGTGAAGCAGATTCAAGAAAACTGCAAAGAGGCAATGGATCTGTTTGGTTACAGGCCAGCAAGGTCCAAAAAAGAACAGCACGATATGACTGTGGACTTAGTAAATAAAGAATGGTCATTGAAATGAACTAAGCAAACTGGCAAACCTCAGTTTTCTCATCTTCACTCACCCTACAGATGCCACTGTAAATAGTCCCCACTAGTGAATGCAGCATTGCAAAATGTTATCCAATGGCTATGACAAAGAGAACTTTTATTAGTAGCAGGGGCGGACTGACAACTCATGAGGCCCCCGGGCAATAGGGGATCATGGGGCCCCTGTATCCTTGCCCAAACTCAAAAAAGCCTATGAAAAAGTTACCAGGGGCATCTCATGGGGGCCCCCTACTGACCCCGGGCGCTCGGGCAGTGCCCGAGTTTCCAAATGGTCAGTCTGCCCCTGGTGGCATGGCAAGACAGCTTACTGTTATCTCACATATATATTCTTATTATTATAAGAATAATAAGCACTGACATTTGCCGGTCAGATGAGAACAATTGGGTGGAGTAGCGGTGACGTCAGCACTAGCTCTGCCCAATTGTGCTGTGATTGGCCAAAGCATTGCACCTGACCTGTGGTCAGATCGCAGAATATATGAGCAGCCAATGTTCGAGTCAAACTTACGTTCGACTTGAACTTCAAGCCCATCACTATTAGTAAATGAGGTAAAGCTTCACTTTGCAAAGAATACCCAATCACATGCAAGGAAAATAAAAAAAACCTGCATTTTTGCTTGCACGTGATAGCTCTTACCCTCGAGAGAGATGCTTGCTGTGATGGGTTCTCCCACAATAGTACAGAGGCTTCCAGTCCCTGACAGAGTTTCAAGCACACCTACTAACACAAGCTCAGTCTAGGGGACGTCTTTATAGAATTTCTTGCTGAATAACCAGAGGCAGGAGAGGGGTTGAGGCTGCTCAGGATACCTCGAAACAATCAATAGAAGGACGAGATTCTAGCACAAATCCTTACATGAAAGCCCCAACATCAGGTATTACTCACAATGTCCCAGGAGCTGTTTGCCACCCAGCCTCTACAGATAGATAAAAAACCCTTCTCCAGACCTAAACTTCAGAACAGTGTCCTCCAGCAAAAATCTTTTAGCAATCCTCTCCAGGCCTTCAGCCCAGCTCTTGCTGAGGCCTAGACTACAATTCCTGTTTCATTGTAACAACTCCCTGGGGCAGCAGCCCATGAGAACTAGAACCCTCCTAGCAACACTAACACTCTGGAAAGGCCTCCCAAATATTTATCATGTCCCCAGCCACCTTCTGAACGGCTCCTTCCAAGGATTGGCTGGGACATGCTAAATATTCATACTGGTCATTTAAACTCTACCTGCCCTATGTTCTGGTAGCTTCTTCCAGGAAAGTACAGTGCCTTGAAAAAGTATTATGTGCCACTCTGTGCTGGTTTCTCACATAAAATCTCAATAAAATACGTTTATGTTTTTGGTTGTAACATCACAAAATGTGGAAGATTTCAAGGGGTATGAATACTTTTTCAAGGCACTGTAGGCAAGAGAAATCAAACACCCCAGTGTAGTTAAGCCCTCACACCAGACAATAAAAACAATGGATCAGTCTCTAATGACTACAGTCATAGGGGTGTCAAACACAATTTTGCGGGCCGCATCAGTCGTGAAACACTATAGAAATGTGTTGTCATATTAAATAATTACCTCTACTGATGTTAGTGTGCCGGGTTCCCACTGTCAAACAGCAAACCTAGAATGTGGACCAGGAAAAAGAATTGTCCACATTGCCTGAGTCATTAAATTTTGCGTGAAACAATTTATTAAATGCTGTCAGTGGGTGGTGGTCCCCCTGAATCAGCAGAATGTAAAAAAGAATTTGTCCCCATTTGCCCGAGAATTAAATTCTGCCCCAATTTTTTAAAAAATGGTGTGGTGGTCCCCCCCCCCCCCCCAAATCCATACCAGACCCTTTACCGAGTATGCAGCCCGGCATGTCATCGAGCGAGCGCCCCCCTCCTCAAACATACCAGGCCAATGCCTTCAACATGGGGGGGGTGCTTTGGGGTGGGGGGATCCCCCCCAAAGCACCTTGTCCCCATGTTGATGGGGACAATGGCCTCTTCCCCACAACCACAGTGGGGGTCTGTGGGCTAGGGCAGGGCGGACTGACAACTCATGGGGCCCCCGGGCAATAGGGGATCATGGGGCCCCTGTTTCCTTGCCCAAACTAAAAAAAGCCTATGAAAAAGGTACCAGGGGCATCTCATGGGGCCCCCCACTGACCCCGGGGCCCTCGGGCAGTGCCCGAGTTTCAAAATGGTCAGTCTGCCCCTGGGCTGGGGGCTTATCGGAATCTGGAATCACCCTTTAACAAGGGGGCCCCCAGATCCTGCACCCCCCCCCCATGTGATTGAGTATGCGGTACATGGTACAGCTACCCATTCACTAAAAAAAAAACCATAGTGTAAAAAAAGACAGGAGATAGTCTTTGACAAGTCCTTTAGTAAAAATAAAAATAAAAAAAAATGTTCCCTGAAGTAGATCAATCACGATGCCTGCCGCCGCTACCTGAAAAAAAACATCTGACAGCTGCGCCCCCAATGACAGTTCTTAAATACTATCATGATGTCACAAGGGGGTGGGGTTCACCCCTCCCTTGTGACGTCATCATGCACTGTGATTGATCACAGGTGCATTTCTTTGACCAATCACAATGCCATCATCAGGTCACAGTGCATTGCGGGGCGTGGCGGATGAATAGCTCGCTGAACGCCCATTCCGTATGTGTGTTCACGAACACACGAACGGCCCATGTTCAAGTCGAACTTAGGTTAGACTCAAACATGAAGCACGTCCCGAATTATTACTTTTTTGGTAATAACTTAAGACTTCAGCTGTGAAGGTGCAGACCAGCATGGAGCCCACTCTCAGTCTTGTGGCAGATGATGCTAGTCTGAAATGGAGGGTTGCACACAGCTGGTATCATCCACAAGAGACTTTATTGGAGACTTCTTAGACAGAACATGGTTCTTCCATGGTGTTATATCTGAGCAGTCTTCAATAAAGTTTCTTCACCAACGGTGTGCAATCCTCTTTTTCAGAGGGCATAGAATTGTATTATTCTCAAAATATTTATAAGCAGATGTCCAGAGCACCCCCCCCCCTTTACTTTAAAGCCAATAGCCCCCCCACCATTAGAAGTCAAGAGTCCCCTACCCTTACCTACATAGCAGTGCACCCCCCTTACCTTGTGCTGATGCCGAGAAGAAGCTGGGGGTGGAGATGGGAAGCAGAAAGTGTAGGGTATGAAGGAGGACCAGAGGAGGCTGGAGTCAGCTGCAGGAGCCTGAATGCTGAGACCAGAGAGTGCTGCAGCTGCACAGAGAGTGCAAGTTCTGTAGGAGTTCTGTTCTTCTGTCAATTGTTGAGAGGCGGAGGGGGTGGAGACAAGCTTCTCCGCAGCTGCACAGAGAAGTACAGGATCTGGCAAAGGAGTTCTGCCCTCCTTTCTGCTGCTGACTCCTGAGACAAGGTGGGGGTGGAAATTAGGGGGGTGCTGAAGCTGCAGGAGAGGTGCGGGGGCACATTAAATGGCCTGGTGAGCTGGAATTGGCCCACAGACCTTGTATTTGACACATGTGCTTTAGACTTTCCTAGCCTACTACTACTTGTGCTACTTTCTGTTTCCTTGTCCCCAGCCATGAACCTGTAGACCAGGGGTGTCAAGCTGGTGGCCCTCCAGCTGTTGCAAAACTACCAGTTCCATCATGCCTCTGCCTTTGGGAGTCAAGCTTTTTAACTTTCAATCTTGCCATGCCTCATGGGACTTGTAGTTTGGCAACAGCTGGAGGGCCGCCAGTTTGACACCCGTGCTAAAGACTGTCACAGACTACCTGTACTTGTACTATTGCTACTGAGAGAGGTGTCCTCAGCAGACTGTGCTTAACGGTTTGGAGTATCCCACACCCCTTTACCCTCTCTGTTACAAGTTTCTTCAAGCAATAAATATTCACAAAGACATCCCCTAGACCAGAGGTCTCCAAACTGTTCAAACAAAGGGCCACTTTGCTGTCCTTCAGACTGAGAGGGCCAGATTGTGGCCATCGGGGGTAGAAAATGTCCCTGACCCAGCATCAATGAGAATAAACATTAACTTAGGGTTGGTGGTCAGTAGGAGGAGGAGTAATGTCACATCATTGGTAGTAGTGGCATAAATAGTGCCCCATCAACTGAAGACATAGTGCCCCATTGTTGGAACCAGTGGGAGGAATACTGTTCCATTGTTGGTTTCAGTGGGAGGAATACTGTTGCATCATTAATATTAGTGGGAGGAATAGTGCCCCATCATTCTTGTTGGTGGCAGGAATTATGCCCCACTGTTGATGGAGGAATAGTCCCCAAGGGCCAGATAAAGGCAAGCAAAGGGCCTCATCTGACCCTCGGGCCACAGTTTGGAGACCACTGCTCTAGACTGTTCAAAGAGCCTGAGTAAATGGAATGTTGCTGTGAATGTGAGCACTAGTGAAATGCCATTTTGTTTTTTTCCTAAAAGCTTAAATAATGTATAATAACTGTTCATTATCCTATATAGTATAATAAATCATTTATTTAAACTGGGCACACCTACTCAAAGAAAAGGAGGCACAGAACAATGACCTGCATAATGGCATTCTTCCAACATGCCACTTTATTTTTCTTTGATCAGTGCAAAAACATAAGACTTTATGTAACCTTTTTTTTCCCTAAATGCCTAGACAATGCACAATAATTTATTTATCTTTAATTTATTACAGACTTTTATATCGCGCCAACTATTTGAGCAGCGCCTTACAGTATAAACCATACGTTCATATCAATCCCTGCCCTCAAAGAGCTTGCACTTAAGGATTAGCAGTATGGTTTAACTTCTGGCTATTCAGGCAAAAACGGAACTTTTCCCATCCCATCTGGCCCCATGGTCGGATCTAGGGGGGTGCTGGGGAGGGGCTGCGCCCCCCCCCAGATTTCAGTTATGGCCTCCTGGATACCAACCACCCCCCTTCCTTCTTCCCTGGATGCTGTGCCCACTGATATACTGCTTCCCCCATGGCTGGTATAATGTGTTTGGAGG